TTGATGACATATGCATGTACAGGACGACACATATGTTAATGAGATGGAAATGATTGGCAGGTGCCAATTAAGAATAGTATGGAACCTCCTTCAGTTTGACTGATTAACCTGCTGGTTAACTTTAAAATGTAGGACTTGACTTCATGAGTTGATAAAGATCCCCTGAACACTCTAACTAAAGTTCCACAGCATATAACCAACCTTTGACGGTCAACACAGCGGAGCACATTTGGCTCCCGGCCTGATTCTGTGCCTGGCAGGTGTATTTTCCTCCATGTTTGCGCTGTAAGCTGGTGATGTGCAGCAGAGCGGTATTGTTCTCATATGTAATCTGAATATATTCAGCCTCTTTGAGCTCATGGTTGTCTTTAAGCCAGGACACAGTCATAGGCTCTGAGCCCTTCAGAGTGCACCTCAGAGAAACCTGGTTTCCCACCAACAGACTGAGGTTCTCCAGCTTTTGCACAAATGATGGTGGTTCTACGAGAAAAGATTCAGATTCATGTTATTGCCGTCTTTTTAAAATGTTAACCTTGTGAACTCGGACTTCATTAATCCGTCTGAACCAACCTTTGAGTGTTACTTGACAATCACAGGATGTCCTCCCCACCTCATTCTCAACCACACACTGGTACGAACCGATGTCTCCTGTCTCGACTGCCAGAACCTGTAATGCCACCAAGTCATCTTTCACAGTAATCCTGTGTCTCTTATCGTTTCGAATGGGTTTTGTATTCTTATAAAACGACACTGTGAAAGGGGCAGAACCAGAGACTTGGCTTTCCAGTATCATTTCAGAACCTTTCACGACATCTTTGGGCTCCAAGGTACGAACAAACAACGGTGGTTCTAGAAGAAGACAACAGATGTGTGAGGACGTACGCTGGCCTACACGAGTATGACATGATAATAAAAATACAATAATTCCTGGAGCTATATTTAGAAACTGAAATGTGTTTTTTCTGAATTACTTCTTTAGCTCTAATGACATATAACACATTCAGTTTTAACTCTATAAAGAGGTTATACCTCAGTGGTCACCAGGGCAGTGTGACAACTTCACTGATGTGTCATTACAACAGAAGAAAAGCTAAATATGTTAATTTCCTGAGCTTGTGATTCTCTGAAAACTTGAATAAAGGGAGTTGAAGTAACATTTGAAGCAGAAGAATCTTTAAACCTGAACTAAACCAACCTTTGACTGTGACTGTGCTGCTGCAGCGGTCACTTCCTGCCTCGCTGGACGCTACACACACATAATCTCCACTATCCTCGACTGTGCAGTCAACCATTTCCAGAGATGCCACTAAGTCAGTCATGGTCATTGTGTATTTATGACTGGAGCTGATCTCCATTTCATCTTTGAACCACTTGAACGTGATCACGGGGCTGCCCGTCACTTCACACTCCAGCCTGGACGAGTCACCGCTGGTAACAAGCTTGGTTGTCTGAAGCTTCTGCACAAAGACGGGGGGTTCTGCGAGAACAGGTCAACACTCGTTATCGGATGAAGACATAACGTTAGTATCATAAGACGTGTTGATGACACTCGAGAATATAAAGACACACGACACTGACGACAGGCACCTTTCACAAACAGCACCGCGGTGCAGTCCACCTTTCCGGCGTCGTTGGATACTTGACATGTGTATTTAGCAGAATCACTGGGTTTCACTGAGTGAAGCTCTAATGAGCTTGAAGAAGCATCTTTCTTTATGAAACATGTGCCTCCAGTGATCATCTCCATCTCCTCTCTGAACCACTTCACAGCCAGAGGAGCAGTTCCTGTGAAGGCTGCTTTGAAGGAAACTATGGTTCCTGGAATAACATCGTGGTTGACTGGTTTCAGAGTGAACACAGGGGGCTCTGAGGGCCATTAACAAAAGAAAATGTGAATTTCACATTAGAATGAAATAATTCAGGGATTATACACAACAAATTGAAGAACAACATTAGCCAAGCATTGATAACCTTTGACATAGAGCGTGCCGCTGGTTTCTTTAAAGCCAGCTGAGTTGATGGCTCTGCATTTGTAAACTCCAGAATCAGATTTCTCCAGTTGAGTTATTCTCAGTGTCACAGAGCTGTCTTTGAATTCAGGTTGGAGTTTGGGCCCAGACACGACCTCCTGGTCGTCTTTGAACCAGGATATGGTCATGGGCTGGGACCCTGACACCTTACACTCCATGGAGATGTCATTACCAACGTTACCATCGACTCTTTTCAGGGTCTTGGTGAAAGTTGGAGGCATTATCCGATCTGGTTGTTAAAGAAAGGATATCTCATATGTTAATACAGTTTCATTCTGTTTTTAAGAAGCAGCACTGAGATGAAACTCACACTCATAAAAACACCATTTTATCAAATCTATTTGCAACGTTTCAGTTTGAAGACATTGACGTAACAAAAGTCCCAAAAAGATTTGTTTAAGTTTTTTAAACAAACCTAATCAAGAACTATAGATTTTGAACTAATCTTAATTGATTATAAAACTGCATAGGTAAAAAGCAGAGACCCAAAACTGACCTAAGACGGTGACGGAACATGTGCACTGGTCTTTCCCGACCTTATTCGACACCTCCATCTTGTACTCCGAAGTGTCGCCTTTTTCTGCCGTAAGAATCTTCATGGTGGCGACTTTGTCCTTCAGAGTCATCTTATATTTACGGCCACTGATCATCTCCTTCCCGTCTTTAAACCATTTCACTTTGAGCTCTGGGCTTCCAGAGAGCATGCACTCCAATGTGGCTGAGTCTCCTGCGGTCACACTAATGGACTCGGCAGGTTCTATGATTTTTGCAGGTTCTGGGACAAGACAAACCCGTTTGTCATTGACATGTAAAAGTAAAGACACAAGAATCTATAGAATCAAATCTGGAATTAAAATCTCTACAAGTATCTCTGTATCATCTGACCTTGCACCGTCAACGTTGCTTCGCTTTTTTGTTGCCCCGCCTCATTCTCAGCTTGGCACGAATACTTGCCGCCATGACTGATGGCGACTGTTGTTATCAACAAGCTCGCAACATTGTTCTCAAACACCGACTTGACGTTTGGATCTTCATCTCTGAGTATTTCAGAGTCTTTCATCCATTTAACAGTGATGGGTGCAGAGCCTTTAATGGTTCCCTGTAGTTTGACTGTATTTCCAAGAACTGCTGTGGTGCTCTCAACCCTCTTTGAGAAGGTTGGTGGTTCTGGAAAACACATGATGAGTTAAAACTCTAAAGCACAAGATTGACCCTCAGTCTCAATTTAATGAAGCTCTGGTTTACTAACCTTTAAGTTTAGCTAAAGCCTTTGAGGTGACTTTCCCCACATCGTTAGATATGACACACTGATAATCTCCAACATCTGCACTCTCGAATGTCTGGATCTCCAGCCTTGACAAGGAATCCTGAGAGATTATTTTATATTTCTGATCGCTGGTGATGGTTTTCTTATTTTTTAACCAGCTGATTTCAAAAGGAGCCGTCCCTGTGATCTCACACTCCAGCTGAGCAGCTGCTCCCTTCACCGCCTCCAATGTCTGAAGCTCTTTTCTAATGCTTGGGGGCTCTAGGTGCCAAATAAAGTGTTTGTAGTTAATACCAAAGATTTTCTGAACTGTACAATGAGTGTAAAGTGAATCTGAGATCAGACAAACCTTTCACAGCTATGAGGGTGTTGCAGTTCTCGCTGCCAGCGTTATTAGACACCTCACAGGTGTACCTGCCACTGTCAGTGACCACAAGGTTCAGTATCTCCAAAGTGGCAACTCCAGTCTTAAAAGAGATTTTATGTTTTTCTCCATCACTAAGCTCTCTCTCATTCCAGAACCAGTGGATGTGGAGTTCGGGCGATCCTTTGACAGTGCACTGTAAGCGTGCAGTGATGCCCTGTTTCCACGTTAGCTTAGGCTCCATTTTCTTGACAAAGTTTGGAGGCTCTGAAAAGAGTATTTAGTTCAAAAACACCAAGATTTTAAAACAAAGAGAGACGTAAAAAGATCTAAATAACCATGACAGAAGAATCTGAATGAGATGCAAAAGAAAAGGCAAGAAGACAGCAGTGCATAGTGTTAGTATCAGCAATAACCCATCAGCTCATACAGAGGTCTATATGTTTTCCTCAAAGCTAACGGAAGCTAACGGAAGCTAACGGAAAGATCACTTTGAAGATCTTACCTTGAACTGTCACCACAGCCTCACAGGAGGACGTCCCAGCCTCATTAGTAGCTGTGCACATATACTTCCCAGAGTCCTTCACTTTGGACTTGGGTATCTCAAGAACAGCCACCTTGTCCTCAAAGGACAGTTTAGACTCCATGCTCTGGTGAACTTTTTTTCCGTCCCTCGTCCAGGTGACGGTCACACCAGTGTCCTCGTCCACCTGACACTCCAGCCTCAGTGGGTCATTGACAGCGGCTGACACTGGCTCAAAGGTCTTAACAAAGCGAGGCTTGTTGATAACCTTGAGTTCTGTGGTGAAGGTCGCCGTGCCAACACTGTTGGAGGCCTTGCACAGGTACACTCCCTGATCGGTCAGCTCAAGTCTCTTAATGTGAAGGGAATATTTGTTCTTTTCATATTTCGTGACATAGTTCCCCTCGTCAGAGATGGCTATGTTGTCCTTGTGCCAGACAACTTCCATGGGTGAGGATCCAGTGAGCGAGCACTGAAACACCGCTTGTTTGCCCACATATAAAGTCATTGGGTCTGGTTTTGAAACAAATACCGGCGGGTACATTTCTATGGAGAGCAGGTAGAACATAAATAAATTGTAATAAATTTTGAAAAGTGGAAAAGAATCAACATAAAAAAGAAGCTAATCTGTGCGATGCCAACTCGTTGATCAACGTTTAAACATGAGAACATTTATCGTCAGCATTATCAAATCAAACATGACACTAGATCAAGTTTTTAAACACATCGTCACATGCACATGTGGATATAATTCTCTCTCTCTCTCAAACACACATGCATAAAGTGATGTTGGAAAATGTCCCTCTGGGGTCTTACCGGTGACGATGAGTGAGGCGGTGCAGCTGTCAGTGCCGTGCTGGTTCGAAGCCTTGCAGCTGTATTCACCACTGTCGGCCTTCACTGGGTTCAGGAGCTCCAAAGAGGAACTGCTGTAGCTGCTGATGATTCGATACTTCTCACTCTGTCTGACCTCAACACCAGACTTGTACCATTTGAAGGTCACACTCGGAGCATCCTCGATCTCACATTCGAGCTTGGCGTGTCCGCCAACGTTTATCTCCACAGGTGTGATTTTCAGCCTAAAGACAGGTGGCACTAAGGCACACACAGACAAATGAAATGGTAAATGTTAGTAAAGGAATCTATTAAACAGGTGAAAACAAACTGACTGACCAGGTACATAAATGGTGAAATGAACACAATGGTGGGAGGGAAGTCTGACTGTGGAGGAGAAAATTAGCAAGAACATTAGCCCCGTGGTTTCAAAAGCTGCCAGGAAGAAGATGTTGGGGGATTGTGGGGCTAGGGTTCAAGCTAAAGGGAGGAAAAACAAAGGATTGGTGAAAGATGAAGCAATGTCAAGTTGAAGCCCTGAAAGCATGCAGAGAGAAAGTGCAGATGTGAAGAGAATGAACCAAAGGGATGGTCACACAACAAGGGTTCAAAACAAAGGAACCTGAAGTCACTGACATGCCACAGTGACAGACCGTGACGTCTGCCTGAAGACCACCATCACAACCAATGAAGCAAGGGGCTTATTGTCAGAAGCTAAACTTGCATGGCTGTGATGGTTCTGGTCTTTAGACAATTACTGAGTGTGGAACAAACAAGACATGGTGAGTTAGTACCGCCCACTGACCCACTGGTGGTGCTCATGCTGAGCTATGAAATGAAAATAGACCAAGTGACAAATGCAGCGTTGTATGTGAAGTCTTGAATGAACCAGTTGGTGTGAATGATTAGTTGCTCTCAGAGAAAATGGATGAATGAGTGGATGAATGGAAAGTAAATGTTTCCTTTTGTCAAACCTCTTGACACCACAGTGAGTCTCGAAGACGTTGTTGTCCTGCCGGCTTCGTTCTCAGCCTCACATACATATTCTCCTTGATGCCTCTCCTTCACAACTTTGTTGATAACCAGTGTGAATGTGTCGTGATCTTTGGAACACTTGAACTCTTCGCCAGATTTCACCAAATGTCCATTTAAAAACCAGTTCACCTTTGTAACATACTTAATGGTGGTGCTAAATGTCACTTTACTGTCTTCTTCAATCGACAGGTCTCCGAGGGAGGTGACTATTATAGGGAATTCTCTCTGTTCTGGCCTGGGCACTGTGATCTCTTCCTTGAAGATCTCCTCCCTGTGCTCCTTCTGGATGCTGACATCTACCACTTGTTCAGTGGGGGTGGGGGTGGGAGGAAGAGCAGTGGTAAGCATTGCTGCCCCTACATCTTTTTCTCTGCCTTTCAGCTCCACTGACCTCACTTCCTGTCTTGAAACCTGTACTGACTGTTCAAAAGCCATGTGAGTCTCAGAGGAAACTTTGATCTGGGATGAAATAAACTGTTCCATCTTTGCTGCCTTGGATTCCTGCACCACAACCTGCTGCTCAGCTGCAGCACATTCAACTGCCCTTTTAGACTCTGTCCTGAGTGCAGCACTCTGAGATTTAACAGCACTGAAGTCCACCGTACTCTCTGCCACGGTCATTGTTTCTACCATGGATGACAACATTTGCTTAGAGGTAGCCGAGGAGACCTGGGCTCTCTGCGGTTTGTCTAGCTGCATAGTGCCCTGCTGTTCTGAAGTAAGAACATGGGCCTCCTGGTACAAGATGGAATGGAAAGCTGCCTGGAGTTCAGTTCTGAGGTCAGCTGTCTGAGGGTACTCACCCTCAAAAGCCAGAGTGATCTCCATGGGGGCCCCTGCTGTGGTGATAAGGTATGTGAACATGGCCCGTTTGGGCTGTCTTTGGACCTTGACTTCCTGTACGTCTACAGCCTGTAACCTGTCTATGACATCAGCCAGTAACACTGGCTGGTCTCTGGCTACAGCAGACTGTAGCACATCTCTGAGCTGACGCTGTGTTTTCAGACTGGATGGTTTTGGGATCTGAATTACAAATGTCATCTCTTTGGGGAGAGCTGTGGTGTCTTTTGATTCTGATGCCATGAGGGACAGCTTTGGCTGAGTGGTGACAGCAACTTTACTGGACTGAGACTTAGTGATCTCCTGAGAGATCTCACCCATCAGTACTTGCTTCTCATCCATCACTATTGACTGCCTGACTGACTGACCTTCCTGGATCTGAACAGCAAAGTCCTGTTCTGCTGCCTCTAGAAAGACACTGCTCTCAGTGGAGATCTCCTTCTCCTCAATCTGGACAGGCTCAGTGGGAAGTTTTGGCTCCAGAGCCATATGGCAGGTGAATTTATCCACAGCTGTAAGATGCTCTGTGTGACCCTCCTCTAAGGCATGACAATCTGCCACACTGGTGACATGCATCACGTTCCAGCGATCCTCCCTCTGCACTAAAGCGCGCTGCTGCCTGACGTCAGTGGTGACCGGCGTCTCTTTTGGCAGCTGAAGGGGCTGGTAGGACAGCTGCAGGATGTTTTGAGGTCTGGGCTCTGTTCGAGGCTGAGACTGAACTCCAGTCACAGACAAATCCAGCTCTGTTTGGTAATTTGCTGTGAGCTCCCTTCTCTCTTCTGAGATGGCTGCATGGCTTCTTGTCTTTTCTTGTTTCTGTGCTGCCACCTGCTGGTTGGGCTTGTCTGTGATGAGAATGCCCTCTTTGGGCAGCACCTCTACAGACTGAGCTGAATGGAGATGCAACACAGTAGGACCCTGTTTCTGCGGCTGAATAGTGGAAGTGCTGGCCTTGGCCTCAAACTCTGATGTATCCTCACAAACTAATGTCCTCTGCTCATCCTGATTAACAGTGTGCAGCAAAGTGGGACTCTTCCTGGTTCCTGCCTTCTCTGGGGCTGGTTTCTCACAGGTGAAGCTCTCCTCAGATGGAAGGAGGTCCTGGTCTGTGATAACCTGCAGATGCAACAACTGCTCCCCTTCTATCTGAGAATGAATGGACATGGCACTGGACAGACTCGGCAGCTGCTGAGTAGACTCAGCCTGAAGCATTTGCTTCTCTTCAGCCGTTAGAGCTGCCTTCACGAGCTCATCCTTGCAAAGGTGGGCTGACTCCACAGCCGGTCTCTGGATGGAAAACATAGTCTCTTTGGAAAGAGTCTGTTTAGACTTGCTGACTGAAGCCAAGACAGGTCTGTGCTGTTCTTTGCTAATGGAAGATTTCACAGCAGAATCTGCTGTTGCGAGTTCAGATGTGTGGCCTTCTGCAAGAACTTGTTTTTCTGCGGACTGGGCCGAGTACAAAATCTTAACACCTTCCTTTACCTTGTAACCCTTCTCTTGCTGTGGTTTGGGAATGTCCTGCGACTGCTCTTTCAGGATAGATAGCGGTGACTCCACCTGATGCCCACTCACTAGGTGTTTAGGTTCTGATGTGGGCTTTACCAAAGCAGACTTCCTGTCAGCCAGAGGGTCTGTGCTTACGGAAGACAGTGGGTTGAGCTCTTCAGCAACAGCTATCATAACCTTTGACCTTTTTTCTCTAGCCGCCTGAAGCTCAATGACCTCAGGGCTTTGAATGCGGTCACAGTGCTGCTCTGTGAGGTCCTGACTCTCTTCGACAGATGTGGTAAATGTTGCCGTATGAAGCTGTTTTGCAGGAACAGCTGAGACCAGAGGTGGGTGGGTGGGAACAACAGACACCCTCTCCTCTATCTCATGAGCCTGAAGCACTGCTGCCTGGTGGGTCAGCTGCTCATGGTGAACAGTGGCAGCAGAGATATCCAGCTCACTAAGGGAGCTCACTTGCTCACTTGGAATGATCTGCCGGTCTTCAGTGCCGATGGTGTAAACCATCTGATCAGATCTGGCTTTGTCCTGACCTGGGAGGCTGACCTGGTACAAGCGAGACTCAGTTGCCTGTTCTGTCACTGACACCTTATAACCTTTCTTCTGAGTAACTTTCAGCTGCTCCTGTTTGTGGGAAACAGAGACTGATTCTCTGAAAACAACCAGCTCGGCACTACAAGCCGCTTCCCCAAACAGGTTGGAGGCTTTGCATGAATACAAACCACTGTCTTCCTGTTTGATGCTTTTAAGATTGATGAAGCCAGATCCATCTGGGTTGGCTGTAATGACGCAGTTTCTACTTGGCTGAATCTGGAAAGCACCTTTCAACCACTTCACATCAGGTGCTGGATCACCGCTGGCCTTGTAATTAAAATAAACCTCTCCTCCTTCTGAGCATCTGACAGGTTGAATCTGAACTGTGAAAGTCGGAGGTTGACCTGTGACCTTGAACATCTTCTCTACCCATTTCTCTGCTTGACTAACATCAGGCTTTTTCACTTCGAGGTACGTAGTGCATGTTGTCTGACCGAACCTGTTGGTGGCAGTGCAGGAGTACTCGCCCTCATACTCAGATGTGACCTTAGTTATGATTAGCGTGTACTCCTCCCTCTCCTCTATCACTTTGTAAATAGAAGAACTCTGAATAACTTTCCCGTTATGAGACCATTGAACTGTTGGCTTGGGGAAGCCCGACACTCTGAGGGTGAACCTGGCAGTTTCCCCAGAGGTCACAGCGGTTGGAGAGAGCTGGCTGAGGAAAACTGGCTTTTCTTTTTTCTTCTCTAAAGAGGAAGAGTAACGTTTGGATTCTGGTTTGAGTTCAAGTGTTTTTGTTTTCTGGGGTAACTGGACACCAGTGTAGTAGGTTTCCGCTTGGTCCTCCACAGTGGTGATGGTGGTGCTACAACGTTCTGTCGGAAGATATTGAGCAAGACTGAAAACAATATCCACAACACAAATACTGTGATATCAATGAATTCAGAAATATCGGGGTTGTCCTTCCCTGCTGGGATTCTTAGTCGACTAAAAGTCAGAGGATGTTTTGAAAAGCTCTCAGTACGTTGAATAAATAAAGACATGCGTGAATTTCACTTTAGATGTTTCCAATGAAAACCACGTTATAAACATGACGTTTACTAACACAATAAATACATTTATCGACTAAGTGATTAAAAAGGACAACCTGCTTAAAACCAAAATAAGTGAGACAAATTAAAATACTTGACATTTTATTTAAGAATCACAATTTTTTGTTTAATTTGAAACTCAGTGAGGATTTGATTCTAATATTAGTATTTAATAAAAAAGCTAAAAAGACCAAATAATCATTTTAATCTCATGCAGAAATAAATAAATGAATAAACAGCTGTGAC